AAATCATAAAAATAAACGAGACAGAGGGAGAGAGAACGAGACACGAGAAAGGAGAGGAAGCAACGGAGAAGAGAGTGGCATGGGTTAGATGAGAAAGGTCCTAATCTATTTTCAGGACAACCGAGCACGCCGTCACCAGCAAAAAGCCCGACCACCGTGTGGCCCTCCTCGTACAACCCGTACTATACGAAAAGGACAGAGAGGCCGCCTCCCCCGAGCGAGGAGAGGGTCGAGAGGCCAGAGCAGAAGCTGCGTGGTGGCCAGAGCACAGGTGAGGCTTGCATTCTCTCATCTGGCCCTCCCTCTCCCGGCTCTTTCTTCTTCCGTTTCACTCTTGTATCTCTGTGTTTTTCTTCGATTTTCTTCCAACCGCTGTATACGCCACAATGTTTCGCACACACACACAACACACACATACACGCGCACACACGCACACGCCGCCTTGTATTGTCTTTATACCACGCCAAAACACACAACAACCGTGCCTTCCACAACCGTTCTTTCCACCCAGGCCTCTCTGCTATTACTATGCGCTATTCTGCACCATGCACCCCGAGAGCACCGAATCAATTGATCTGTTCACCGCACCGCGATTCGATGAGATGTGTCACTCGTGATGATTTATTATAGATTTCAACCGTTAGAAACGCTGCAGCGATGCTGGAAGTCCGATGTGTTAATGTTGCTTTCAGCGAGTTTGTTTTTGGTAGCGATAGATATAGAAAATATGAAAAATTCCATTGGTGGTTACATTCGTCGCTATGAAAAATAGAGTCGCTGAGAGTGACACTGGAAATCCGAAGTGTCAATGTTACTTTCAGCGAGTTTATTTTTGATAGCAATGGATATAGATAATATGAGAAATTGCATTTAGAATGACGTTTAATAAATACTATGGAAATATGAAAAATTCCATTGGTGGTCACATTCGTCGCTATGAAAAATAGAATCGCTGAGAGCGACGCTGGAAATCCGAAAAGTGTCAACGTTGCTCGCAGCGAGTTTATTTTTTATAGCGATAGATATAGAGAATATGAGACATTCTATTGAAAATTACGTTTAATGAATATTATGGAAATATGAAAAATTCCATTGGTGGTTATATTTGTCGCTATCAAAAATAGAGTCGCTGAGAGCGACGATAGCGCTTTTTGGATAAATTTTCAATGTCGCTCGCAGGGATGTTGGTACTGTAGGAATTAACGATTTGTCAGTTGGAATGATTAATTTTGAATATATGACAGTTGACAATTTACTGTATGCGCTGCGTATACGTGTGTTATTTATTAATTGTCAGGATGTTTCTTGAGTGGAGTAATCCTCTTTGAATTGTTATTATCTCTTGAGCACCTAGTGATAACGATTATTGGGGAACTGGAATTTAGATTTGTTGATATGTAGAGTGTTTTATAAGGTTGATAAGGGTTGAAAACATTGAAGTTTGGAAATGAAAGTATCAGATCACGTAAGAAATCCGTGATATTCGGAGATAGGAGACTTAATTCACCCAACCGTGCGCTGAAATGATTTTTACTTTAACACTAGGTTTACGGGCATTTATAGTACAGTTTATTCTATTGTTCCCGGGGAAATTGATATTCGTTCATTTAGATTTTCGAAATTGTAGATGTAGAAATAGACAATCAGGATTCATATTCGTGTAATTTGATCAACGAAAACATTTACCAAATAATGTTTATAAAATTCAGTATGCGTCAAATTGACGCGTTCCGTGAACCTAGTGTTAATACTCTCTAATCTACACGAAGTTGATGTTAAAATCTAATTGGAAACTGTACTCGTACACAGTTTCGAAACGTAAAGTTCGCATTAAATTCCCTAAGAAAAAAGGTACACGAGAATTGAACGTCAGCCGGCCCGTCTAAAATTTTAATCCTCCGAGTTGAAATGTATAGACTCTATATAGAAGTAACTCGAATACACGCGTCTCTGGAACTACTTCCCTTCGTTCTCATTAGCACAAGGTTATTGCAACTCTAAACGCAGGATCACGCTCGCATTTCAAATTTCTGCATAATGCATTCGTTCCGAGAAAAATCCCCGCTCGAGGACACGGACGCACGGGAGTCCCCGCGTGTCCGAGAGCTTTTCGCGCGAAGCGCTCGGTAAAGACCGGAGAAAGACCGAGGGAACCTCTGACCGTTGCCCGACCTTTTCTCCTCGCCGAGATATCTCGCGCCCGTCCTCTCTTTACGACGCGAAAGATCATTCCGCAGCGACGACGCTCGCGGTAATTTTGAATCCGAGGATCCAAAGGAGGCTTCATTCCGCTCCTTTCGTTAACGAAACGTTCCCCCGTAAAACCGACGAAAAGAAGCCCTTCCGTTCGGGAAAGGATTCCTCGTTCGAAGAAGAAAATTCACCTGCCGGGATCTCCGATGGAAATATCAGACCCCGTTCGACGTAAAACAGCGAACTTCTCGGTTCAATTGACTTCTCGACGTTTCCCTGCAGAAACTCGAAAAGTGCATCTAATTGAGATTTCGATTGACCTGTGATTGAATCAACCCTCTGTAGACCCATGTAACTTTGAAGTCACATCAGTATATTGGCATCTTGTTGATTTATTTTATTTTGCACTCGAAGTGGCGAATACAATTAACACTAGAACTACCGGGCACTTCAATTGACTTTTTAAGATTTCGCTATAGAAACTCCGAGAGTGCATCTGTTCAGACTGTAATTGATTTAAAATTTGATTTGCGTAGTGCTAAATGAATTTCGTTAATAATTTCTCAGAGAAACATTTGTTATCCTTCTAATAATTGCAAAAAGAAGACATCAGGCATGGGTCATTTGACCCCTCTGGTAGTTTTAGTGTTAACGTCATTGCAACTTGAAAGTTACAAAATATATTCACATTGCTATATGGACATTTATTAATTTTGTACTACATAGATTTTGTTACAATCATGAACAAAAATTCGGCCCATAGAGGGTTAATTCAGACTTCGATTGATTAACAATTCAGTTTGCCTATTACCAAATGAACGAGGCTTCGATCGACTAATCATTCAGTGTGGTTGTTACTAAGTTAATCCATTGAGCTTTCGATTGACTTGCAACTCACTAAATTAATTTCTTTAGCACTAGGTTTACGGACATTTATTGTACACTTCATTCTATTATTCCCAAAAGAATTGATGCTCCTTTATTTAGATCGTGGAAACTGGAGATTCGATAGTAGGTAATTGGGGTACACGTCAGTGTGATGGCATCAATCAAAATCGGCGTAAACATTTACAAAATAATATTTCTAAAATCCAATATGCGTCAATTTCGCGCGCTCCGTAAACCTAGTATTAATAATTTCTCGAAGAACCATCTGTTATCTTATCGATATCTCGATATCTCGATGTCTGGAACTCTGAAGGAGTTCAGGAGTAGAACGCGTCGGTCCATTCGGCAGTGCTGTCTAACGAAGATACTACGGATGATGATAAGTCCTGGTAGTAAACGTCGTTCGGCGACTTATTTAGCTCGGACCTCTTTGATGAAGCGCGTAGAATAGATGAATGGATCGTTAACGAGATAACGAGCACTCGAGCGAGACGGGGACCAGGAAGCCATTCCGCAGCGACGCCATTAACGTTGAACCGAAAAGCTGGCCCCTCGATCGAACGCACGAAGCCCTTAATAAGACGCTCGCTACTTAATGAGCAATGTAAGGCACGGTATTTATCTTAATAGCCAATGAATGAAGCGATACGTTCCGATAGGCGATAATTCAGCGCAGCACCCTTAAGCCTCGACGCCTTTTATCTGCCCATCACGGAAGTTTCGCCGAGTTCCTTGATTGCGTTCCCCCTTCGTCTTTCCATTATCGTCCCGGAGGATGCCTGCCGCCGAAGCCGATATTAGATCGATCGTGACGCTTTGATTGTTGCTACCGGGTTCCCGTTGCATCTCTTTCTTTGTGTTCCGGCACGGTTTATTTACTAAGATACTATAGTGATCCCGGACGAGCCAATTTTGAATATTTCAAATTAAACTTCGCACTGTTACGTGAAATATCGAAATAAAACACTTTGTTGCTTAATTTATCTATGAATCATGGCAAGAGGTTAATAAACATCCGGCAGAGTTTAATATAGTCGAACCCTGTCTATATTCACCGAGCTGCCCCTGCGACTCCAATTTTAACGATTCAGAAATAGTTTCCATTAGTAAATCAACGGATGCATTAATGTAATACCTATAGAACGAACATGTCCCAGAACCGCGACGATATTCAATTTTTATCGCGTCCTCCCGTGTCGAGTCGCTCGAGTGTGTCTTGCTGAATCGGACACGCCGGAAAGTTCAACGTCCGACGGACGGCCGTGTAATGGAATATATGAACCGGAGCGGCGCAGGATATCGATACGAAGTGAACGACGTTGAAGCATTTACCGTTTTCGTTGTCGCGATACAAATGCGCACCGGCGAGCGCCGACCATAAAGTATCCTCGAGGGTGTTATCTCGCAGTGATCCGTGTCACCGGTGAAGCATCGCCGCTCTCCGCCGTTTCCCATTCATTTTCATTCATTAACGGTCGTTAGCGGCCGTGATATTTTACCCCCGGCCGCGGAGGAGAACCAGCCCGGCCCGCCGGAAATCTGTCAATTAGCACGCGGAGTTCCCGCGCCGGCGTCAACGTCCCGCGGACTTACTTACTTGCTGTTTCTCGGCTTGTCTGGATCCTTGACGAGGAACAGCTAAATTCGTTACCGGAAGTTCGGCAGACGAAAAAAGCGAGCTGAAACAGCGAAACCAATGGGATCGTGATAAACTTTCTGCGCGGGTGATATCGGATTAACGCTAGAACTAACGAGCATTTAACAGGAATAACAGAATGTAGTGTACAATAAATGCCCGTAAGTGTTAATATTTAACCCTTTGCACTCCGGAGGTGACTCTCACCACTAGATTTCCTACAGTGAAGCTGTAAAGTTTGATATTTAATATTATACTTCATATAATGCGTTAATCTGAGAAATATTGACGTAAAATAGCTTTGTCCGATTCACGTGAATTTCTCGTCGAGTTGGTTTTACAGAATATCGTCTTCGTTTCATCAGAAAATACAAACTCATCAAAGTGACAGATATCCCTTTAACACTAGAACTACCGAGGATTTAATACGACTGTTATGTAATCCCTATAAAAATTGTAACAATAGATTATCTTCAGTTTCTTCAGGTATTCATTATAGTACTGGAATGAAACTATTTATTTTCAAAATCATTTCGAATATTCTATGCTTCGAA